CTTACAGATGGGAGTGTGATTTAGCTCTGGTCCGCCAGCAGTTTTGATGAAGAGCATCCGGGGGGGGGACGGATCCAAAGGTCTTCCACCCTTCCTCCCCTGCAACATGCCTCTCGAGAGGTCTTTCCGCTGGCCGCATATTTCGAGTGCTTCCATGCCGCACAGACACTATACATTTACAAACATGAATGCCTTCTCTGCGATTCGAACCCTGGCCCATCGGCACGGCAGTCAGCGACGCTAACCACTATGCCGGTTGAGTGGCGGTTTTGACTTCTTCTATGAATGCAATTTGACAGTAGTTTTCTGTCAGAGAGACTTCTAAACACTCAGCTAATAAAACAGTTTCTAACAAAGAATGTTTATGAAAATACTTTTTACCAGCTGATATGGCTTTATTGTTGCCACACCAGACATCTGTCCCTTCTCAATTGCTAAGCTTGCTAATGCTTGTTATCATTTTTAACGAAAGATTTCGATCTTAAAATTTCGAAACATGTATAAGTTATATATTTTTGGAATCGTCTCAGTCTACTTTATTTTTTAGCCCCAAAATGAAAATTTGAATATTTGAAAATTTTTATGTCATACGTCCCCTTAATGCACAACAAGAGCTGGATGATTTTGAAAGCCCATTATTTGGTGATTACATCCATGAGATTCCTGGCAGCTCCCAGATTTCAATGCAACAATATTGCCGTGAAATGGAAACAAGAAAGAATTATAAAAATATCACCTTCAGCAAACAAAGCCAAACGTATTAACAGATAACAACTATGAATGCAACCAGTATCGAGCCAGCAAGCTTTATTAAAAACCTTTACCACAGACTTTTGAATGGCATCTGGAAGTAATGTCAGTACCATTTTCTAAGAGGTATACACATAAGATTCTATGGGCAAGCTGCACGAAAGCATGCCAATGGTTCTGTCAAATGTAATGTGAGGATAAACTACTAAAGTTCATTGTTCTGAGAGCAATATTTGAGGCAAAAGAATTATGGTACAGAACTTGTTCTTACCTTAATCTTGATTCACTGGTTTCTGTATTCCCACCTCAGCTTATTCCTCATCTGGAGAATACTATTTATGGACTCTCTCAGACATCAGGCCCAATTTGGAATTCATCCAGAAATCTGGAAAGAGCAGGGATAGGAATTCCCCACTGCATGCCAGAATAATAACAACAATATTAAAGTATCACTGGTTTCTGTGCTACTACTCTGTGGCAACCATTTGGAACTGGTCCTTATCATTTTCAATGTGGCAATTTTTCGCAAAGAAAAAGCTGCAATTATGTTATTTCAGGAAATGGAAATAAATGGACTCAACTAGCAAACCAAAAGCTTTGATACTAATCCAAATAATAATCGAATACTGCTAGACCAAGTTAAAGTGCCAGTTGAGAATCTGATCAAACCACTTCAAAATAGCTACTTAAATGTTTGCCATGATGAAACATTATGGCATTATGGAGAACTAGAAGAAAATACTGCAGACACCTAACAAAACTTAAGGCACGACTTCCTCAAGGGTGACAGTGGTGAATGGGAAACCTATGTTATACCGATACCATATCAATCTCAAGTTAAGCCATTTCTTGTTACTGTCCAACATTAAAAGCAGAATAATGTCACAACAGAGTCTATTGTAAAAATGTATCCTTAAGATCTCTAACTATTGTTAGGGTAGACTGCATTTTGCGAAGACACTTCAAACAAATGATCTTTATAAACAATGCAAACATTTTGTACGAGTTCCAATGAACACCTACATAATGTACAAATAAGAAAAAGCTTTATAATATCACAAAAAATTAAAAAATATGGATAAATGTACTGAAATAAAGCAATATCATTTTCAACATATATTGTAGGCAAGGCATATTTCATCAATATAGATGCTTACAGTTTCTAGTAAGGGTCCACTTTTAATTGAATAATTGGTGTATGCATATATTAATGTAAACAATGATGAAGATTAAAAAGATTTGAGAATAAAATCGACTTTATGTTGATTTTTTCTTTTATGTCTCATTTTGTCACATACTTGCTCAGTTTAGAGGTTTAGTAAATAGTAGGTAGATTTTCTGTTAAATGGCATAGGTTAAAATGAAAAGTAAAATCATAAATCAGTATGATTCATAACAGTGATGCAGTTAGCATCATAGCTTTGTGTAGAGTTCCAGGGGTTGTAACCCAGTTAATATACTTTCAGGTTCCAATAAGCCATTAAAGCAGCAGAGGTGATAAATTGTTTTGTATTATTTTAAGTCTCACTAGATGCAAAGAATAAGTTTAAATTGAATTTCTACATTTTTTGTGTTTTACATTCAAAGGTTAAATTGAATTTCTACATTTTTTGTGTTTTACCTTCAAAGGTTAATGAAAGCCAATAACTCGCATTAATATGCAAAGATAATTTTTAAGGGTAAGCACTTAGTTATAATTAAATTATGCATTAGATAACCTTAGTCACATGGATTTACATGGCCACTATCAAATTAAATATATTTTTTAATAATATTTGTTAAAAAAACCCTATTAATATCACAATCTAATAAAATTCCACAGTTTAAAATACATCCAATTTATGACATTGATTTTTTAAACAATATTAGGATAATTACACATTAAACATTTATGTTTTGTAGCAACAAAACTCAACACAGTAATTATGTGTCTTTTTAACTTGAAGGCCTACCCAGACATTTTGGCAAATTTATATCGATTTCCTTCTCCTTAAGCATCTTTTCTAACAATTAAAATTTGTCTCAATACACAAAACAATATTCTCATTAATTTTTGCCTGTTTTATCTCCTAACTGTCAACCTCTCCACAATGTACTACCCATGAGGGTTTACTTGTTCTAGTAAAAGTTAAATAGTCCCCTCCTCCGACAGACGTGAAAAACATTATGGCTATGTCTGAAAGTAATTATAAATCAGAGGTTTAAATAAGCTTCTTATTAAAAAAGAACTTAGAACATAAAGGCATTCTTATGCTAACAAAATTAGTTACAGCTCGTGGTGATGTAATTAAACAAGAGTTAAATTCAAACTAAAAATATGGACTAGTGGTCAATTTAATTTCAATTTAATCTGGTTCAATAACTCTATCGTCATAATAAACTCAAATGTCAGCAGCGGTAATGGAAATTATCAGAGCTGATAGGAACTAATACAGGGAGCAAATGGAGGTCAGAAACACACTCTTGTCTCTTACACTCCAAAAACCTCAGTTTAAAAACTGTCTCAGTGATTTGCATTCTGGTGAGAAAATAGAAATGGGAAATTACAGTAAAGGCTGAAATTGTTAACAACTGGGTAACTTATATAATAATAACTACATATCTCTGAAGAATAATTTTCTTTCTCTTTACATATTTAATTTGTTTCTTCAACACATTTCCTTTTCACTTTAGAATTTTTGGATTTAATTAAAGATTTCTGTTATTCTAAAAGACAAAATGCATTTAGAATGTATGGAAAAAGCTGCTAATTTTATTTCTTTAGTAATACGAACATTCAGCAGAAATACGAAATACGTATCGTAAGGTCCGGTCGCAGAGCTGGTGTGGCATAATTTTTAGAATTTAGTGACACACTGAGCAACAAAATCTAGAAATGGCAAAATTTTTAAAATTTTGAGCAGGTACTGGAAGCAGAATTTAGAAAGGCACCAGGCAGCAGAATTTAGGATGCACAGAGACTGCATCAGGTGGCAAAATGCCTAGCGCCAGCCCTGTGTATGATGCATTAAGACATATTAGATGAATCTTCTGAATTGTCAGCTTTCAATTTCTTTATTAATAAAAATATTCTTTTATATACTGCCTGTCCATATGATAAGATTAGAAGCATTTTTGATATTTTCCAGGCTCGTGTCTAGTGAAAAGTAGAGAAAGAGAAAACTGATGCATATTCTGAGAATTCTGAAAAATGGGAAAAACTCTTCCCATGAAAAAATTAAAAAGACATTTTTAATTAATTACATAGCTTAATTTGCTTTTACTAAAAACTGTTTTATAAATTGTGCTTTATAGCATTACACCTTGCTTATTTTTCAGATTTAAAACATTGTATAATATGTAGCCAAAATGGAACTTTATAATATGACAGTAAAAAATAAAAACGGCTTATTTTAATGTTATTTCTTAAATATAACTCCAATACATTACCATTATTTTAATGAAATTTATCTGTATTAGAATGTTCTAAAAAAGTTGCAAAAAATTTCCCAGGTTACGGAATTAAAAATTTTCCATAGAAACCGATCTTAAATTCGCCAAATTTAGAACTATTTAATAAAAGAATTCACATCCCCCAAAGTGGAAATTTGTTTGAGAGCTCTTCATTACAAAAAATGACATAATTTTGAAATACTTATGTTTCACTTCTTGCTCAAAAACTCGAATATTCCACCAGTTATATTACAATAGGAACAATTAACCCATGAACCCATTCAAAAAATAACCATATTTGTCAGTGAATCACCAAAAATATTGCTGCAAAATGCTAATTCACACTCAAAATGGCAGTGGGAAAAACAGACAGAAATTTCAGATTATTAAAATTAAGGAACTCCTGCCTCTTTTGGCCAAAATTAAGGACTTTTAAGAACCAAAATTCGTTTCCAAAAAACTTAAGGACCACACAAACCCTGAATTGAGGCTATCAGGCTAATAGACAAAGAAAAAGAAGAAAATCATATAAATTGCAAGTAACAAATTTGTGATTATGTTTGTCAATTTTGTTATGACAATCAACAAAGCAAAATTACATTTTGTTGTTATTAGTTTGAATTTAATTCTGTTAATTGCAGTGGCTGCTTCACTTTTACCCAAGATTTATTGATCAAAAATTGCATGCATATCTTTAATATTAATCTGCCCCTAAAATAAAACCCTTAGAGAATAATGCAGTAATTTAAAAAATGTGGATGCAGTGAAAAGGGTTTTTATTACCATAGTAAAGAGACACTTTTAATTTTCTGCTTTTGATTTGCAAAAATATCTGTGCTTAACTATTTAAGGGGGGGACTTATTGATTTGGTTACTTATACTTACTTTTTCTTGATCATGTGGAGCTATAGCCGCAGCTGCTGCAGCAAGAGCATTAGGCTGACGAGGTGATGATACAACATTTGAGGGTGATGCACCACCCACCATTGGTGATCCATTGCTCACAGCACTAATTCTAGGATTCTGCATTAAATTTATACAACATAATAAGGCAGAAAATTAAGTGAAAACTTCAAACAACAATATTTTATTAAAATAATTTTTAAATTAACACAGTTTCTTTACTTTTAAATTTTACACTCTTGTTTTTAATTTTAGATGTAACATTATGCTGTATTTTTACTATTAAAATAACCAACTAGCTTTGAAATTTAAATTTAATTACCTGTTGCAAATATGTTAAATTGTAACCATTCTTTTAGAAACATAAATGCTGGCTAGCTCTTTAGGAGTTCTAAATGTGTGTGATTTACTTGATGAATTTTCTGTACTTATTTATTACAAATCCTTTTATATGTATTAAAAAATTAGAACTGTTAATAAATAGTTGCAGTGGGGAGACAAAGATTGTCTTCCAGAAAAAATCGTTGAAACAATTCTGGTCATAACAAATTCTGTTAAAACTAAGAATGCTATAAAGAAACAAAAATGATCAAACATATTTCTCACTAATCTCTTAAATAAGAAACATTTAACTTTAACTAAAGAACAGATTTAAAAAAATGCAGCCAACAGTGTAATATAGAGTACAAAAAAGTAAAATAAAGAGTACAGAGTGTTTTTTACTATGACTTTGATGTTGAGAGATAATACTGCAAACTGCTGTTTCATCATGTGCTTCTGCTTACATTCATAGACTAAGCAAACAACAGTAGAAATGCTACCTTATCAAAGAAAGTCTCCTTTATTATGGAGGGAAAAAAAAAAAAAAAAAAAGAGGCTCTACTTCGGAGTAGCTAGAAATGTAGTTTAAAGCAAAGCATAAGAGGATTTTCTGCCCAAGAAAGATTAATTTGTGGAGAACTTCCAAGTTTTTTTTCATAGAAATCATTAGGCAGCTTACAAAAAATGAATTAACCTTCTGACTGCTCAATTTGTGGACCGAAATCATTTTCAAATTTGCCCGCCCTTTTTTTTTTGCATATTTTAAATCTATATATATATAGGAGAATTGAAAAATGCACTTTTTCTTTCTAGAAAATATTTTTTATATAGATTTTTATCATGAGAACTAAGTTGCCAGAAAAACCAATTTCAGATGTTATCACACACACACACACACACAACAAAAAAAAAAAAAAAAAAAAAAAAAAAAAAAAAAGCTTCCATCGAATTACAGTTAATTTTCTATTTACTGCATAATAAAAAGGTAAATGTATAAAATTTAAGAAAATAAGCGGCTGCGGGAAAAACTTAAAAATGCGTTTAGTATGATAGAGTTCAAACTTCACAGTCTTTGCACCAGATTCAATAAATGTAATTAATAATCAATCTAATTAATAAACTAATCACTAATTTAATTAAGTAATCAAAATAATTGCTGAATGTTTCCTAGCAGCCATTTCTGTAAGAAAAAAGTGGCAAAAAGTGAAGTTTGAGAGCTAATACCACCTGTCTTCAAATGCTGCAATTTAGTCCACAACTAACGATATCTGTTGTGTCCAAAACATAAACTAAACACCTAATACTGTATATAATTAATTTCAATGGTTAAATGGGGAAAAAACGAGATGTGCTCTTCAATAAAGGAGGAAAAACATATGCCCGCAAAAATCCCCCCATTGATCAGCCAGAGGGTTAACTAATCCTCAGAAAAAAAGCAGAGGAACAAATGAAAAAAAAAAAAAAAAAAAAAAAAAAAAAACTGCAGGAAGCAGATGGAAAATGTTCCTTTTGTACTTTATTTATTTATCTTTCATTTTTATTACAACATACCAAAAATTATTTTACTGCCTTTATATACACAATATATTCTCTTATAGCTTCATAAAAAGTAAATTCAAGAAATTTTCACAATTATTTACATATTTCTGAAGAAAATTATTTAAGTCCATTTATTAGTCTTTCCAGACATATTAGAGATGCATTTTCACCATAAAAATATTTAAACAGAACTAATTAATTTAAGAATAAACCAGTTAAGTTAGATAACTTAATTTAATTATTAATTTATTAATGTAAATATCATATTACTTTCTTAGTAGGCATTTGGAGATACTTAATGAACTTGGTAAAACACAGAAACATCCATGTAAGACCAAGAGTAAAGATTACTTTTAATGCAGCCTTTGCAAGTCATAAGAAGTGACGTGGAGAAAGGGATGTCAGGTTATCACATGTTATAAGCCATTGGGAGGCCAGACTATCAAACACTTATTATAAATAATATCTCATATTTCAAGGACTTTTCTCAAGCATATAAACACTGTTATCACATTTATAAGAAAAAGACATAAATACTTACAGTCGGCATGCGAGGATTTGGAATAGTTGGAGCTGCAGGCATAGACACATTTCTCTGAGTGTCCATTCGACTAGGAGGTGCAGGTCTTGCTTCATATGAAGTTCTAGAATCAACAGTTGCTGGGACACTAGGACGGTCAAAAGGAGGTCCACGGGTGCTCACATCAAGACCTGGCACACCTCGAAATCTAGGATCAAATGGTCTACATTCTTGAACACCTCCAGGTACACCTAAAGTTCTTAAATCCTGGTCTCCCATTTGTTGCCTCATATCTTTATCTCCAGTCATCATAGGCAGAGTCCTCATATCTCTATCAGCCACTGGTGGTTGGCGTAAATCATGATCACCCATAGCTCGTGGATCCATTGCTTAAAAAGTAAGAAACATGAAAATCAATGATTTTTATATATTTTCTTAAAATGTTTCTAGATGTAATATTATCTAAACATATTTTAAGAAAATAATAAAGCATATACTCTATATTTATTGACGCATATACTCTATATTTATTGATGAATATACTATACCTATTGATTAACCTATTTTAACCAGAGTAAAAATTAAAAAATTTGGCAAATTGGTAGTTTCAATATTAAATGGAAACAATAAACAAAATATCATTTTAAGAATAAGCTCAATTTTATTCCTGTTCCTCTTTATTCCTTAAAAAATATTTTATATTTTAAAACTGAACTAGAAAATTTATTAAAGCTGAATTTTTAAACCAATACTATTCATTGAAGCAATAAAAATTGTACAGAAATATTTTTTTTACAAACACATCTATTAACAAAACAAAAGAAATGAAAAAATGGTATTGATATAGTCTATGACGTAATACTTTTAGTATTTATTTCTTAGATAGTACTCCTAAAATGATATTTTAAAATATGAAAATAAATTAAAATAACTAAGAATATATGAATGAAAATTATTCCATTAATTGATGCAATAACTTTTAAAATTTTTAATTCATTAAATTTAAATTACATCCAATTTTAAAACGAAAAAGCGAAACTAGCCTTAAAAGGACCATTTTTATTAGTCATTCAGCCATATACATTATGAATGTCATGCAACATGCCGAAAAAATAAATATCATATTTATCAATAGATCTCCACCATGCTTCTGCAATTCTATCATATTTATCAATAGATCTCCACCATGCTTCTGCAAGATAATGTGGAAGCATTTGCAGCATGGAACTTTATATGTTGCATAGAATCTAGTCTGAATACTCAGCAAGATACAATTGTTTGAGTATTACTGTAGTCTATGATACTGACGAAGCTCTTCTGCTGGTTTACAGTTTGAATGATACGATCACAAAAGTGGTAGATTGCATACTACATCATTACTCAAAAAATCTTTATCTCAAATGCCAAGAGGTCATCATAAAATCTCATGATAAGTTTTTCCTTATTCGTACAAAAATATATACCTTTATTTAGTTGGCTTATACATAACAAATGGTTGAAAGAGTTTCTCTATTGCCCTAGAATTCAACTAGCAGCAATGAAAATTTGCACTCAAAGAAAAAGAACATGAAATATTTATAATTATCTAAAAAGCAGATCTACAAATTTTACGATATGAAATAAACTCCCTCCCCCCTGCAAAATAAATCTGATATAAGTTCTCAATTTTTATATTCATTAATTGTTATCACATAAAATACTATTTTAAATAGGTAAATATATGGTATTCTAATTTTTAAGCTATTTCTAGTACGAAATGAATAAAATTAAGATTTAATAAGCCATCTTTTGTCACCACAACTACTCAAACTTGGAAATCAAATGAATATTTTTATTATATTACTGAATCTTTATTCTGCTACATTTTAATCGCCAGCAAATAAAAAGTAGTTGCCGTACGTTAACGAATACCATGCGCATTTTTTTTTTGATAATTTTAATCAGAAAAAGAGGTGCGCGGTTCAAGTGAAACAAAGCAATATAAACCAGGTAAACGCAAGTTGGTTGGCGGCAGAAATTATTTCTTTTTGAAGCTACGGTATTTCCAGAAAATATAATATTATATGATGTCACTGTACCTTCTCAAATAATGAATCCTGGTCAGAGATTTGTAGAGGATATCCCGGTACTTTCAGCAAACAATTATTCTCTGAATGGTTTTTGCCAAACTCTGCTTCTTAATCATAACATTGGCAGCAGCACTAGAACTCAGTTGATAAGGAAGAAGAGAATATTAGCAGCTCAGAAAGCATCAGTGATGACAGCAGCACAGAAGGCAAGGAAGACTGACAATCTACATTGTGTTTCCAGACTGAAAATGTGGGAAGAAGTGCCATGGTGTGGTAAGATAGCTGCCTTTGTTAGATTACCGGTAGATTTTAAAGGATTACCATTTTTGATGCCATATAAGACGCACCCTTATTTAGAAGGCCACACACAAGCGAAAAAAGTTTCAATAGTCCGCGCGACAGCGCGGTACCACAATAACTTAAAATGTGGTTTCTTTTAGTTCTCACGTTTCATAAAAGCCATAACATCATTGATGGATTATCAAACATATTTATAAATGATTAACAAACGGAAAGCTATTTTGAACATGATTTAAATTTCATTATGAATAAGAATGATGGCAACATCAACATAACACAAAATAAAGCAAAACATAAAAAACCAGATTCAGAAACTTGCCTTCATGAAATTAGACTTTAAACTTCAAACCATAAAATCCTTTCACTATCAATATTACTATTCTTTCCGCACACTAGTATCCCTTCTTCGAATATGCGGTCGTCTTCGGTCGTCAGAGCATTACTGATTCCGCACTCTTAAGGACTTAGAATTACTTCATACTTTACGTCCTCTCAAATCTTTTATTCCCACCGTACATTTGGAAATAGAACCGCTTCATTCTGCCTGAGGTGAGGGCCTCCTATCCACTTGTTTCATTCTTCGTTCTGCCTTTTCCTTAAATGCTTATTCACCGATATATCAAAGGCTCAATTGGCTAGTCATTCCACCAGGAATGACGCTACTGGGTTTTTAATCCTCACTTTCTTCTTTATGGTTCATCTATGGACGCTAAACTGATCCAAACCAAAAGAAAGGGTTTTCTTAGAGTCACCAGGTCGCCGCCCCCTACTTCTGTAACCACAGTTCATCCAGTTTCGTCCTCCAGCCTTTCGATAACAGAACAATTACAGAGCCGTTGGAATTTTTCTTTCGAATGAGTTTTTCTTGATATGAAAACGTGTAGTTTTGTGCTCAGCGCAACTGTTAGCACTACCGTATATCGTTTTCATTCCGTGTTTTTAGGTTAGTGATTTAGACCTTAATCTCACAGTCTTGTTGGCTGTACATCAAATGTGAAGGAATTTCATCCTATTCCTATTTGACCGAGCTCAAGAATTTTCTTGCGTGCATTTACAACAACCTATGAAATCTCGTCATTTTCTTCATAATCTGCTGCTTTTTTGTGCAATAGTTGTTTTGTGCGCATAGAAAGCCTTGCCTTTCATGACCGTAGCACCAGCCCTCAACCATGAAAGTCTATTCCCATTTTTTTTCGCAAATCTTTGCCTCATTGATTATCATTTGGTTGAACACTTATCCCGATTTCCTCTATCTATCACCCACGTTTTTTGGCATTTCAGTCCATGCCAGATTGACTGGGCATCAGGTTGTTTTTGTTTTCCACAGTCTTTCAGTTGATCTTCCTGCGTCGCCATATCATTTTCCGTAGTGTTGGACGAAATGCTTGCGCGCCTGTTTTCCATGCACTTTGGCGTATTTCACACTCTGTTTATACTGAATTGTATAGCTTAATCTTATGTTTCCTGTAGTCATATTTTCCAGGGTATTTATTTAAAACAAATAGTTTTAAGCACCGATACCGACACGTTTAGAGAGAGTATCACCGATATCGACACGTGTGTCAACTGAGTCAAAGAAAGTGTATGTAGAGAAGGAAAGGCTTCATAGACGTAATGTGACCATTGAACCTGTTCGAGCTTTGGTGCTTTTTGGCGACAGATATTTCACGCTGCGCAATAATTATGGCAGATTAGAAAAGTTATGTGTGCCTAGACTTTTATCCAGCTAAAAATAGTATTCAGTATTGAAGTTACCTGTTCCTTCACGATATACGCGGTACTGTTGCGACCAAATTAGGAAAAAAAGTGCGTCTTATATGCTGTCAAATACGGTACTCGGGACTATTAAATCCATATTAACACAGCAATTGTTGCAGACTGAAGCCATTGTTCAACGAATAAAATATTATATAACATACTTAGATTAGCAGGAGTTTTTTCCCCTGCCACAGAATCAAGCAAAATAATTTTTTTCTGTAAATTAAGCTTTCAGTGGGCTTGATGAAAATATGAGCGCCATATTCGCAGACATGGTTTTCTTTTTTGGTGCATCACAAAAATCGGGCGCGTGTCTTATTCAGTTGCGTATAGTATTCATGAACATATGGTAGTTACTTCCTGGAAAACAAACTTTAGGTCATCAATCGGATAGCTTTGTGGCATCTGAGGAAAGTTATGATTGGTTAAGGCTGTCAGCATTCTTACTTTTTCATTATCTATTTCTGCTTTTATCATTTAATTTGCTGATTTAAATCTTATCATGTTCAAGAGGACCCACCACTGGCAAGTGGATAGAACAACTAAACACTGGTAATTTAATCTATCCTTAAAAAAATCCTTGCAAATAAGACTAGCTGTATACGTATTTTTATGCTTATTCTTATAAGTAACATTACTATAAAATAGTTTCTCTTACAAAGTCCTTCACAAAGGCATACCACCATTTAAATAGATCATCCTCGTGTGCTTTACTACAACAGATACATCGAGTCCAATCCAGGCACTCATGATAAAATTTACCATGGATTACACTCAAGAGGGCCCACTACTGGCAAGTGGATAGAACAACTAAACACTGGTAATTTAATCTATCCTTAAATCCTTAAAAAAGATCCATGCAAATAGGGTAGCTGCATATGCATTTTTATGATTATTCTTATAAGTAACATTACTATAAAATAGCTTCTCTTAGAAAGTCCTTCACAAAGGCATACCATCCTTGAAGTAGATCATCCTCGTGTCCTTTACCACACCAGATACATCGAGTCCAATCCAGGCACTCATGACAAAATTTACCATGGCCAACAAAGAGAGAGAAAGCAGCATCTATTATTGACCAAGGCTTATTCCATTTCAGCTGAAAGTATACTTTTGCCCAGTTCCAACACTGATAATTTTGACTGATAATTTCTTAAGACACAGATTCCAAAAGTCTTGAACCCCTCTTTTCCAAATAATAACCTCTCAGGTGGAAAACCAATTGTAGTACCACCATGTAACAAAGATACTATACATTAACA